GAAACGTCTTCAAATCTTGGAAACCAAGTCCAGTGGATATTTTTTGAATTTTTACGGACTGACTATGACCTGGATGACTGAGAACCTTCATCAGCTGTCTATGATTCTGAAGGTCGGTCGTTAAAGGGGGGGATTGTCTCCTCTGTAATACCTGCAACCTGTCTATGATTGTCAGTTGTTAATGGAGGGATTGTTCATCTTGCTGAAGAGATTTGGTACTTTGTTCCTGTGTGATGGGGTGGGGGGTGTGATGACACCTGGAGGGGATCAACTCTATAACTGACTTGTAGGTTTTTGGAAGCTGGAATCTGAGTCCACCACCTCTGTTTAAAGTTGGTCTTTTTCTCTTAACATAGATGGCTTCCTTCATGCCCCTCTTGAACCACCTATTTTCTTTATTCAAAATGTGAACATTCTGGTCCATAAAAGAATGTCTTTTGTCCACAATGTGTAGATAACCTGCGGAGTCTTGTCCAGAGGAGGGCGCTCTTCTGTGTTGGGCCATGCGTCTGTGGAGAGGTTGTTTGGTTTCTCAAATATAAAGATCAGAGCATTCCTCACTGCACTGAACAGCATATAGCACTCCTCTCTTATTCGGTCTGGGGGTTTTATCTTTAGGATGCACTAGCCTCTGTTTAAGGGTTTGGTTTGGTTTGAAATGTAACCGGGATTTTGTGTTTGGAGAAAATCCTTTTGAGTTTTTCAGACACTCCAGCAACATAAGAGATTGTGATGTTTTTGCATTTAATTTTCTCCCCGCTATCTTCTGCTGCATGTCTTTTGGATGTCCTTGCTGATTTGATGAACGCCCAGCTTTGGTGTCCACAGGTTTGGGGAGCATCTTTGATGCGTTTCTGTTCTTCTTTCTGCTTCCCTTCTGTTTTAGTAGGGACACGTTCTGCCCGGTGTTGTAAGGTTCTGATTAAAGAGTTTGTGTTCCAGTGGGTGGTGTGAGTCAAAAAGAAGATACTGTGTGTCTATGTGATTAGGTTTCCGATGCACTTCAATGTTTAGGCTTCCATCTCCTTCCATGCTCATCGGACAGTCCAGAAAAGGTAGTTTGTTGTCCTCTGCATCCTCTCTGGTGAATTTGATGTTGATATTTTCTATGTGATATTTTATTATTCTTGGGGTGGGATTGTTTATTTTTTCTTATTCATGTACGGTTTAAGAGTATTATGACCCCGTTTGGGCTTAGTTATTAATAATCGCTCCAATTATTTCTAGTTTGTAAGGTNACTTGGAATACATTGGACGAGCAGTATGGAGGAATATTGACACGTTTTTTGTGGACTTTTATGGACCTTTCTGCCTCGGGCACCATAGACCTCCTAACCCTAACCCTAGACCCCCATACATTTAAAGGGCCAAATCTCTAATATATATAACTTAATTATGTCATTTAGTAACATATCAACAGCCAACATCAAGACAAAATGGGAAGAAGAGTTAGGGATAGTCGTTTCAGAAGAGACCTGGGCTAGAGCTCTTAATCTTGTGAACGATACTACTTCTTGTGTGCGTCTCAATCTGATTCAGTTTAAAATTCTCCACCGTACTCCCTATAGCAAAGTCAGGCTTGCCAAAATATAGAAATAGATGGAGCGTGGGATCGCTGTAGAGCCACCAACGCAGACTTAGCTCATATGTTTTGGTCGTGCTCTAAGCTGAAAGAGTATTGGAACTCAGTATTTGGGATTTTAAACGATGCGTTTGGTCTACATCTAAAACCTGGTCCTTTAATGGCTATTTTTGGGGTTGACTCTGCTATTTCTAGATAGGAAAATGTTATTGCTTTTGCAACTCTGATTGCTTGAAGGAGAATACTTCTGGAATGGAAATCCTAATTTCCACCTAAGGCAGCAATGTGGCTCCTGGATATGATGATGCTCCTAAAAATCGAAAAAGTTAAATATTTTTTGAAAGGATCAAACAAAAAATTTTACAAAGTATGGGACCCTCTATTGGGTTATTTTGAATAACTTTCAAATCTCCCTTCTCGCTAGTAAACAAGTCTCAATGTAAAGTGTTTTCATTTTGGGATAACAATCTTTTTTTTTTTTTTTTTTTTTTATATATATTTAGTTATTTTTATATTTAGTTATTTTTATTTTCCTGTCGGCACAGGGGTTTCTGGGGTTGAATGGGGTTTATAAAAATAAATGCTGTTAAATTATTGTTATACTGTACATGGTCAAAACAATTGTAACAACTGCAAAACACTACAACTTGAATGGNATTTAACACAAACACTCATTGGTTAGCTATCCGTTAAATTTGTGCTGACGCCAAAGGAAATTATCAGAAGCAAGCGGGCGTTCTTCAAACTGCAAACACAAATTGTCTCAGCCATGCTACAATGATGTTGAAATGTTTGAGAGGTCGGACACAGGCGAGAGCGTATCGGGAGATGGAGATCAACAAGACCTCCCTCGTCCTTGGCCTGATCTCAAAACATAGAAACTAACTCCCTTGGTTTTCTTGGTCATAAATACATTAAGCAACTGAATGTACATGAGCTCATTTTTGTACTATATGATTCTAACACTGATATAAACAAACTAAAACCCTCAGAAAGACTCAGGAATGTTCACAGCGTAAACCTGAACAAAGTTATTACGATTATTATGCTATGTTTATAAAAATCTTTTAATATAAACATTTTTTAAATATTTGCTCTAAATTAGAAAACACAAACTACATAAAATCCAAAATCTCTATCAGCAGCGATAACTACTGTAATTATAAACTGCAATATGCATTGAAATATCCAAGATGTATTTAACTGTCTGTCACATCACCATTATTGAATAATAATTGTACTGTGATATACTGATATTGAATTGTTGCCCTACTCTTATATAATTAAAGATTATCCAAGGGTATAATAGAAGATATATGATTTATATTCATATATCTTGTTGGACCTTATTGTCAATCATAAAAAATCCACCTTTTTGGCTGATAGCCTGCCAGCTCATTATTTATCCAACATTATAAGAGAAATGAGCCATCGTGTTCTTCTGTGCTGTAGTTGGGAAGTGAGCCCACAGCCCCATGTCTGCGGAGGCTTCAGTCGGCCGTCATGATGGCGACTCCGTCCAGTCTGCCGTTCCCCCGCCCGCCTGCCGCAGCACAGATGAGCGCAGAAATCCGGGTCTGATGGGGAGCAAGTACGTCAAGCTGAATGTTGGTGGCTCCATACATTATACGACCATCCAGACGCTAAGCAAAGAGGACAGTCTTCTGCGAAGCATTTGCACCGGAGCAACAGATGTTACCATAGACTCTGAAGGTCAGTAGCTGTCTCTCTGGTTGCTATTTGCCTATTAGCTCACCTCATAGTGAAAAGTATCATACCCTGTCTTCTTAGGAGCCCTGAATTTATCCTTTCGAAAAATTTTATGTTATCAGTTTTGAGCTATTCCCCATTTTTTAGCCTAAATTCTTGTTATTCTGACACTTGAGTGAAAAATCCCTCCCTTACGGATCTCCCTGTTGCTTTAGGTTGGGTGGTTTTGGAAAGGTCCGGCAGACATTTTGGGTTGGTGTTGAACTTCCTGCGCGATGGCTCGGTACCACTTCCAGAAGACCACAGAGAACTTGATGAGGTCCTGAAGGAGGCCCAGTACTACAGAGTACAGGGACTCGTCCAGCACTGCCTCACTGCCATGCAGGTAGGAGGAAGAACTGAGGTTTTTATTGACAAGAGCTGCATGCAGATAAAGAAAAAAGAAAAAAAAAGTGAAAATAGTTTGTTTTTATCATACTTAACGTATTAGTCAATGTGTTGAGCTATTTTGGACTTTTTCATTGGGCAGGGTTAGTTATTGCCTATTTATTCATTTTATTCATTATGTGTCCTGTAATAATAACTAACTGGACAGTTTACTTTTATTATAGATATTGCAGAAGTAACTGCTTTGTCTCCATTGAACTGTTAAAAGGAAACCTGCTCTGGAATTTTACTTAAACTGTCAACAGAAAAGTTCAGTTCCGGACTTTTATGTTCAGCAACATTTTGCTTAATATTGCCAATATGTTCTGGTCCTTTTGCAGTCTTGCTGATTTTTATTGTTTTTATGTTTGTATAAAGAATTGTGCTATTGCAAGTCAATCTTAACACTTGGGGGGCTGTTTAAATTGGTTTGAGTGAATTCTAAAAGGTTTGCAGAATATTAACCACTTGAGTGTTACTTTAGTCAACTTTTCTCAGGTACTGAATTAGGCCATGACAAAAAACCGATTCAATTAATTAATTTGAATTTCTTGTTGCAAATGATTAAAATAAAAGATTGTTTTGTTAAACGCTGCAATTTTGGCTCCCTGGAGCTTCCAGAGCTGTAGTATTACTCAATGGTGCATTTCGGTAAACGACAACATGGCTACTAGTGAGAGTGGGAAGTTAGTCCTTAAAAAAAGGAATAAAATCATCTGTTGTTTGGAACTGGTTTGGGTTTGCTGCAACAGATGTAGAGCAAGAAACCCCACGCATATGGAGGACCAACTCTGCCATATTTAAAAATAAATACAGAAATAAATAAATGCTCAATAAATATATAAGCAAATATGACAGGCAGTAATGTAAAAAGGGTAGAGAGAAATAAACAGCGGCGAAGAAATAACTAAGGTAAAAAAATACAAAGGAAGAATAAAACAGACAAAAATATTATAACATGCACATAAATAAATACTTTAAAATGTAAGTAATTAAAAAATAAAGTTGAAGATTATTAAGGACAAAAAAATAAATAAGGTAAATATTACAAAGGCAAATAAATAAAGAAGCTAATTAAGAGTTATATACATTTATGTCTCACTTTATAATTTAATTTCTACTTGCATTTATTTTTTTATTGTATTTTTGTTGGCAATTAATTGTATGCTTATATATTTATTGAGCATTTATTTATTTCTGTATTTATTTTTAAATATGGCAGAGTTGGTCCTCCATACATGCAGTGTTAAAGGTGTTAAAGGCAGCAGCACCACAAACCCTTTTTCAGCATCTTAAACAGAGTTATCCAGCAGAATATGAAAAATGCCAGTCTTTCCAGGACAAACTACCCCGAACACAACAACAAACCTCAGCTAGAATCTTAGGCTGGAAGGTGATGAAAACAAACATACCTAATATCAACTATGTTTGTGGAAGCTAGGGTAATTAGTAGGGGTGTAAATAATAATCGTTTTGTATCGATGCATCGATCCAAAAGCCGACGATCCGATGCATCGACACGTCCGCAAGATAATCGATTAATGTTTTTTTTTTCC